CAGATGTGGTCCTGCTCGGCACATAAAGTCAGGAGGAGATTTGAGCCACTAAGATAGAGAAACAGAAACATATCTGTTCTGCTCTACCAGCAGGGGATAGGAGGGTGTTCAAACCCACCACCCTGCAGAAGAAATCCCCTCAAACATCCAATTCTCCCAGCACTAAGGGTTGGCAGATGCTCCCATCATGCTCAGGCGCTACCAGCAACCCCTAACATGTCCATACTTACAGACCAAGCCCAGGCATGCATCCCTGACCCTACTCCCAGCCAGACCCCTCTGTCACCCATCCCAAGGCTCACCCCTGTACATGCCGAAGTAGCCCTCGGAGCGGATGGTCTTGATGAGGCAGTCAGACCTGTAGCCAAGGGGATGGCCATCAGCTGTGGCCAGCTGGACCCTGGCCCTGAGTCAGGCAAGGGCAGCCAGCACCTTCTCTGCCCAGTATGATCATCCAGGGCCCACAGAGAAGCCAAATACTCTGCCAGGGACAGGCTCTGTGTCAGGCCCGCCCTACCCTGTTTCCCCTTTATCAAACCCGGGGTGCAGGAGCAGAGATCAAAGGTGGAGGCCATGCCCTCATCCCTCATATGCTGTTCTCACTCACATGCTGGCATACATGCGCTGGCCATTCTGCTGGTTCTGCAGCCGTGTCTTAGCCAGGTCGATGGGGAACACGCAGGTGACCCCAATTAGCCCAGCGATGCCACCATTGATGAGCTTGGCCGGCAGGCTGTGTATGCAGGGTCAAGTGTCAGGATTAACACCCTCAACCACAGGACAGGGGGATGGGAAGGGCATGCTGGGAAAGGGGAGAAAGCCAAGACTGAAGCCCAGGGGTTGAGGTCCCTCTGACCTGATCTGCTTATCAGCCATTTACACCAAGTGGAGCAGGCGGCTGACTCAGGCCAGGCGATGTAAGTGGAGGCACTGATGGGGAGGGGCTGATGAGGACAATGTGGGTGGCTGGCGGTGGTGGCTGATGGTGGGGGAGGGGATGTCCTCACCTTCAGAGCAATTTCAAGCCTTCTGCCACCTGAAAGGAAGAAGGGACAGAATGAGTGACAGATGGGGACCTATCAGAGAAAGAAGCCTCCCCACCCACCGACCATCTCACAAGGGCACTAAGCCCCTCACTCCCTAGACCCCATGCTGCAGGCTGCAGCCATCAAGGTGCCCTGGAGATACACTGGGAGGGAGGGGGTAGGTGAAGAAAGGGAGGCCACCCATCCCTGGGGCCACCTGGCTTTCCTTCAATGCCCTCCCCGTGGCGTCCTCCCAGGCAGCCAGGAACTCACGCTCACACGCATATGCTCACGCACAGAAGGCAAGCTCCAGCTTTTAAAGGGCCAGGTGCCTTTTAGTGCGGTGGTACTTTGGGATCCTGGACTTGAGCTGTGGTAACCAGTTCCCACCTAGCACCTGCCACTTTCAGCGGGATGGGGCGGTGGGGCGGTGGTGGTTTCTCCTCTGTGGAACCCCTGGGCAGAGCAGACCCAGTTCCCCAACAGCTCACTCTGGGCCACAGAGCCTCTTCCCATAGAGAAGCAAGATCCCCACCCACACCGAGCTGGTTGCCCACCTTCCTGTCCACTTCCCAAGGGAAGTGTTTCACTCCCAAAAGACACAGGAGCCTAGGGATAAGGCCTCGGGGAAGACAGGACAGGAATAAATGGTATGAGGGGGGAAGCAGAGGGATGTCTGTCTCTTAAGGCATCTGTGGCTGGTACACCCTATTCCCTTAGGGTGCGAGAAGGGTCTCTTCTGTTAGCAGCAAAGACGGGAATCCAAGAGCCAGCCTCTTCATCCCCTGAGGGACACAATCATAACAACTAAGCTGGGGTGGGTTCCAGGAGTCCGGGGTCCTCCCTCCCCTGTGTATCTCCCTGAGCCCTCAGAGGTCAGCTGTCACACACAGGCTAGTATCCTCACTGCTGCCACATGGGGTCACATGGCTGTCTCACACTAAAGAGCCCCCAGAGGACTTGCGACCCTGGACCTGCTACCCACCTCTCCCCACCAAGCCGCTGGGTTCTGCTCACCCTGAGCGCACCCCACAGTGCGCACAACTGCTCCTCCACCGCTCCACAGCAAGCGCGCTCACTGAGGAGATAAAGAGGCTGGCCAGGGGGAGGAGGCGAAAGGCTACAGGGATTGGCCACGGGGCGGGGCGGGGCGGGCCTGGGGGGAGGACTTTCTCTTTCACTTTGGGCTAGAAGATAATCTCTGCAGCTTTAGGAAAGGCAGAGAGGGGTGAGACAACTTCTGGGGGCCCGGGGGGGGGGGGGTTGGGCCCAGCCCGGGGTCTAAAGAAGGGACAGACTAACCATGAGACCCAGGTTGCCTACCCACAGGGACCCCAGGTCCGGGCCACCAAGTTCTCAGGCCACTCAGTAGGTTTCTATCTGCAGGCTATGGGATGAACACAGGGAATGGGACATCCTGTAGGGACCTGTCAACGTGTGACCTTGAGAAATGGGTCAACATCCACTGTGCTGTGAAACCTAGGTGTACCCATCATGTACCCATCCGGGAACCTCAAGTTAGAGCACAAGAAGGTATACCTGTTCTCTGGAAAGGGCAAGGAAGGGATGCCTAACTTTCAAAGGCCACTGCCAAGCACAAGCCCTGCTCACCTGGCAGGTCCAGAGGACATGGGGGCGGGACTTCATCTGCCCTCTGCCCTCTGCCTCACCTCTGCACACCAGGCACCAGGCATCTCAGTGGAAGAGTACCTGTCCCTCCTAAGCCTGGTATGTGGCGAAGGCTGACCTCTGAACTCTATAGTCTGATTTCTCCCTCCCCGTACCAAGCTCCAAGTGCACACTAGCTACAGCAGTTCTCTAGGGGAAGCCCCATCCTTCCCTACGCCTCTGCCCTCAGGAATAGTGGGCCTGCTGTCCCTCAGATGCTATCTCCCCTCACATCTGGGATCTGGACACCTGGGTGTTGTGTGTGTGTCCTGGAAGTCAGAGAGACCATCTGAAGCCAGCAGGGAAGAGATCTATGGGCTGAGTCAGCCCTGCACCCAGAACTAAAAACAGGCAAACGCCACAGAGGACAGTCACTGAGCTGAGAGTAGGGGTTCTGCTGCCTGGAACAACAGGCAAGGGGACCCTCTGGGCTGTTCTCTCCCTCCCTGACCCCCAGGGCTTTTTTTTCTTATTGCCCCCTGCCCCCATCCAGACAAGATTTCTCTCTTGATCTCCCTCTGTAGACCAGGCTGGCCTCAAACTAAGATCTTCTTGCCTCTGCCTCCGGTGCTGGGATTAAAGGGCTTTTTGTTGTTGTTCCTTAACTCACATCAGTTTGGGACAGCTGTCAGGGCTCCCTCAGCACCCTCTATGTTACCATAGAAACCTGACTGTCCAGTCTAGCCGCTGAGGATCTAGAGCCTTCTGCCTAGCTGTCCCAGCCTTCCCTAGTCAGGCCACACGCCGACTGAGAAAGATCAATTTAGCACACAGCTCCACACAGCTTCTTCCCCTATTTCCATGAATGAAGCTGTCCATCTCCTACCTAAAAGCAAAGCAGCCAGGCGGCGGTGGCGCTCACCGTTAAAACCACAGAGGCAGGGGGATCTCTGTGAGTTTGAGCCAGCATGGTCTTATAGAGAGAGAGGGTTCCAGGACAGCCAGCGTCACATTAAAAAAAAGAAAAAGAAAAAGGAGAAAGAAAGAAAAAGAAAGAAAGAAGGAAAGGAAAGGAAAGAAAGAAAGAAAGAAAGAAAGAAAGAAAGAAAGAAAGAAAGAAAGAAAGAAAGAAAGAAAGAAAGAAAGAAAGAAAGAAAGAAAGAAAGAAAGAAAGAAAAAGAAAAGTGGTCTGGGACCATGCCCCTTCCCCCAATCCAGTCTCCCTCAGCCCTTCCTCTTAGGGAGGTTAGCTTCGCCTTGCATGCTAGAAGGGCCACAGGGAGATCTCCCACTGCGAGATACCCCAGCTGACCTACGGAGGAAACCCAGGGATGGGGGCACATCCTCTGCTCCACGTCAGATCATACATACCCTCTACCCCACCGTTGGGGCTGAGCTGGCCTCGCTATCTCCAGCCAGACAACGCGGACTCTGACCATGAACGTGCCCACGCACGTCCAGCGGGTTTCCACGTGTGCGGCGCCCCCAGCCCCGGCCAGAAAAAAAAAAAAAAAAAAGACCCCCAAACCAACCCAGCATCAGCTCTGAGGCTGCCACACTGCTGGGACACGTGTGCGCGGGGAGCGCGCCCGGCCGCGCCGGGACCGAGCACGGCCTTCCACACCCGAGACACAGCCGGGTGAGGTACCCGCTGGTCCAGGCTCCGCCGGAGACGCGGTGTCTGAACGGCTGTCACCTCTCCCAGCCACCGGGGCCACCCTTTCCCTCCCCGCAACCCAGCCAGCTTTGGGTGGGCGCCACAGAAGCGGACGGGCTGGCTAGCACTCACCACACGGCCGCGCCGCCGCCACCGCCGCCGCCGCCGGGCTCGCCTCCCCGCTGGGCCGCGCGCCCGGCCTGCACCTAAGCTGGGAGGCGCGTCTCTCGGAGGCGCGCCCGCTCCGCCCCAAGCCCTCGCTGCTGTCGGCTCCCCCTCCCGGCCGGCCGGCGTGGCCACTGCCACCAGCCGCAGCTTCAGGCCACCCTTGATTTGGGGGGGAGGTGGGCTTTCTGGCCCTCTCTGTGGTCTTCCCACGCCAAGCCGGGTTGAGGGACCAAGAACAGGTGGCAGGAAACGTGCGGATGGGGTGGCCCGGGGGAAGGTTTAGTCCCAGAGCGTTTAGATGCTCCTTAGACCCTGGTGGGCAGGGCTTATGCACGGTTCTGTCACAGGTGACTTTGTATCCATAGCTGGGTTACTATGTAGAATGGCTCCTCCCCATCCCTGAGGAAGACAGCACAAAGGCCTAGAAAGGGCTTACTGGGTAAAGGTGTTTGCAACCAAGCCCGGTGAGCTCGAGTTCATTCCCAGGGACCACATGGAAGGGGAGAACAAGCTCTGCAAAGTTATTCTCTGATACACACACGCACAATAAATAGCTTTTATTTTATGTATATGGATGTTTTGCCTGCGTGCATGTCTGTGCACCACGTGTACCTGGTGCTGTGGAAGCCAGAGGAAGGTGTCTGATCCTCTGGAACTTGAGTTACAGACTGTTGTGAGCTACCATGTAGGTGCTGAGAATTGAAACTGGGTCCCCTGAAAGAGCAGCCAGTGCTGTTAACCGCTGAGCCCTCTCTCCAGGCCTTCTCTGCCCTCATCGTAACGGGAGGACTTAGCATGGTAGGAAATGTGGGCACACTCAGGGACTCGGCTTCAGATCACTTAGGCACCCCTGCCCTCTACCCTATAAGTAAATCAATCTCTGAGGTGCACTGGGAGTTGGAGGCTAGCTTGGGCTAGACAGTAAGACCTGTCTCAAAAAGTAAATAAACCAAGCTTTCAAAACCATGAGATTTTGTATGATGGGACACTTGTACCACACAGATGAGGTAGAAGGATAGGGAAGGGGGCTCTGCCTACTTGTCAAGGCAAGTCAAAGGCCAGCTTAAGTCTGAGCCTAGGCCTGGGCAGACTCTGGGGTCTGTGAAGACGAGGTGCCAGGCAGAGTGGAGTCCTCAGGGGCCAGCCCTGTGCGCCGGATGCTGTCCTGATACTTGTGGCGGCCAAGCTCCAAGATGGCACGCACTTCTTCAGCCACATCCTGCCGGTCACTCTGTTCCAGGGCCTGTACCAAGTGTCCCACAGCCCCGGGCTGTCCAGCCTGGCGCTCAGCCCAGGAGAAGAGCATGTGGCGGATCTGCCCATCCAGATCATCCCTTGGAGAGGAAAAAAGTGATGATGAAGGTATTCTGCCCAGGACCACACACCTCATACTGTTTCAAAAGGGAGTTTCTTGCTCCTTGGGCTAGTGACCAGACCCTCCTTTTCCAGGCTGGTGTTTGCTCCGCCTCCACCTCCTTGAAAGCTTTCAGCTGGGGGTTGGGGTGGGGTTTGAGGGAGGGCCCTGAAGCTGAGGCTGGGCGTCAGAAGAGTCACCTGAATTCATGCCGGATACGCTGCAGTTCACGGTAGGGCATGCCTAGGTGCAGGGCCACAGCCGGCCAGTCAGGACCTAGGCGTGAGGCCACACTCAGCAGGTTGCTCTGAGTCAGGAAACCAGTTTCCGCATCACCCAGGTTCAGAGGCATCAGGGAGAAGTCAGTCCCCTGCCCACTTCCCTGGGGCCCCCGGAGTCTCTGTCAAGAGACAAGGATACAGTAAAAGCTTGAACCCAGGCGCTTGTCTTTGGTCACCCTGGGACTCTGTCTCCTCATATCAGCTCACGGCTCTTCCATCTCACCGGAAGCTTGATGGGCAAGGTGGCCATCCACAGTGCATCTGTGCCCTTCCTCTGCCGGGCAGCCTCAGCTTCTTGAGGCACCTCCGTGGGAAGTGAACCCCGATAAAAGGACACCTGGGGAAGGATCAGGTGGTTGCTGTGGAATATTCCTTTACACTGCATGACTATATGTCACTATGATTGGTTTAATAAAGAAGCTGACTGGCCAATAGCTGGACAGAAAGAGATTGGGGCAGGAGAGCCAGACTAGGAGAATGCTGGGAGGAAGAAGGGCAGAGTCTGGAGTCACCAGCCAGACGCCGAGGGAGCAGGAGATGAATGTGCCATGCTATACAGGTACCACCACGTGGCAGAGCATAAATAAGGAATATGGGTTAACTTAAAATGTAAGAGCCAGTTAGTAATAAGTCTGAGCTATTGGCCAAGCATTCATAATTAAGCCTCCGAGTGATTATTTGAGAGCGGCTGTGGGACAGGAAAACTGTCTAAAGGTGGTGTCCAGGTACCTTCGGGGTCCTGACACATCAGCCCACCTGGCCTCGAACAGCCTGAGCTTCCCGGTCCAAGGTTGTGGTGATGTACACCTCCTTTACATTCTTCAGGTGTGAATAGAAAACAAAGCAGATCCTGCCATCCACACAGTCTGGACGGTCTGTGGAGGGGGGCAAACTCAGTAGGAGGGGTGTCCAAGTGTCACACGCCCCAGTGCCCCTCGGAGAAGAGACCTACCAGCATCTACATCAATGCCCCGCTCAAAGGCTGCAAAGAACTTCTCACCCTCAAACATCTCCACAGTATCAGAGGGTTCGGGGCCGCGGTACCGATCCAGCAGCCGACAAAGGGTGGCATCCACCTGTGGAGCACCCACAGGGATTGGAGGCCAAAGCTCTGTACCCACCCTAGCCTTCAGGTCACCCCACTGGCCTCCTGCTGCCCCACCTTGTTCCGGGGCAGACACTGTAGCAGGACCTGCTCCGGGTCCCGGCGCCTTTGTAGTGCGATGAGGTTCACGCGGTGCAGGCGCAGCCGTTCCCAGGCCTTCCGGGCCAGGCCCCCCACACAGCTTTTGGTGGTATACCAGAGCCAGTACCTGGAAGTGCTGGAGTTGAGGTGTGGCCATACAGATGAAGGGCAGAAGGGGTACCGAGGAAGCTAGGGGACACTGACCAGGAGAAGTGTGTGACCTGGAAGCGTGCATACAGGTGAGTGAGTTCCAATGCCACCTGAGTGGTGATGTCGTCCCAGGTGGTTGTCGAAGGTGTCCGGTACAGCAGATGCAGGTGGGAGCGGTCCAGACTGAAACCTGGACAGGAAATAGCAGAAGGCTGAAGCCTCTACACGCAGCTTCCCCTGCTAAGCACCCATCTTCGGTCCTGTAGCATGCAGCCTCACCTGTAACACCGGGGGGCAAGGGTAACTGCACAGTGACGGGGTGTAGGAAGCTGGGGGGGCCGCTCTGCGAGAGGCACAGCAGAGGACTCACCGACGCCTCTGCTTCTTCCAGGAGAGCTCTCAGCTCTACACCAGCCATATGCACTACCTGGACAGGGAACCATTTGAGTGCCTTCCGGTATGCCGAGGCACCTCCCGCGACCCTTAGCACTGGCTTGACTATACCTGCATGGTGACTTGCCGAGGCTCTTCTGTGGCCCCGGAGGGAAAGGTGACTTTGACCCCAGGATGACCTGAGGAGCACAGAAGTGCTCCCTCTGGTGGCAACAGGCAAGTGTTGGATACTGGGCGTAAAACGACAAGGAACCAGGAGAAGTGGGGCACCTGGCATCGAGCCCAGAGCCTCTGGAACACATGGGAGGATAGGGTTAAGGCAGAGACAATGGGCCGGGGTGGGTGGTATCACAGCAGGCTGCTCCTGTCCCCTCATTCCCAAGGGCCTAGGTAGCTGTCACCTTGGGTGCCTCTTCCTCCAGGTGGGTCTCTAGGTCATTCCAGCTATTGTCACTCCGTGTCCTCACAACTACCTCACGGCAGCGACGGACTCGTGGGGGGACGAAGAGCAGCCATAAGCTCACATCCTGTCAGGCAATGGTAGTGTGTGAGAGAGGGCCAGACCTAGGCCACGTACTGCCCCCTAACCATCCTCAACACACCTGCTGGAAAGCCACCCCATGGGGCTGCAGCTCCAGAACACCACTAAGCAGGAAGTCGTGAGGTCCCAGAGAGACCAGGTGGGGCTCCGGCAGCCACAGTCGATAGTGGATGGTGATAGGTGTGGTGGTGGCTCCTGCTGGGAACTGTAGGCGGACACCACAGGCCAGGGTCACAGAACAGCCGTGGGGAGTCACAAGGAAGCTGAGTGAGGAGAGAGGTATGAGGGCGGACAGACAAGGTGTCCCAATGTGGCCAGGGACACAGGGTAGACAGATGTCCTCCAGTCACCTTCCCGCCCATACCTGTCCAAATCCGAGGTAAGGAATAGCCTGGGCATTTCTGGAATCCGGGATATGTCTGCACAAGGGACAGGCATGTGGTCAGAATGATGATACGCCTTCATCCTCTCATATCCTGGCCATGCCCCATGACAGGCCTACCTGGGGGACTTAGGGGTGCTGCAGAGGCTTCACCCAGAGGGTTCCCCTGCAGGCGCACAAAGGGAGCGTCGAGTAGCTCAGCAGGCAGGTCCCGGAGCTGGTTGTCCCTCAGATCAAGCCGAGAGATCAGTGGCAGGTGGGCCAGGCCAGTGGGCACTGAGGTCAGGAGGTTGCTGTGCAGAACAAGGAGCCGCAGGGACCGCAGGCCCGCTGCAGGCAAGTGCTGGTTTACGGCTGGCAGAGGTCCACTCACGGTGGCCCTGGGCACCTTGACAAGACACTCACACTAAAGACTTCAGGCTCTATCATGTGGTGGGACAAAGACGCATGGGAACTGTGAGCAACCAAAGAGGTAGAAGCAAAGTCAAGGGGCCACCTGGGAGCCATAAAGGTTCACAGGCCGAGCCAGTCCCAAGACTTTAGGGCTGCAGGGGCCCACGTGGCAGTGGAGGTCTGGGCAGTGGCTGAAGGACCCTCTATATTAGCTGGTGAACCAAAGCTGGTACCATGGCTACTCACCAAGGGAGGCTGGGAGGTTCTGCAGTCGGTTGGAGGCCAGATTGAGTTCACTGAGGCTGCTCAGGTCTCCAATCTCAGAGGGTATGGTGTCTAGAAGGTTCTCTGAGAGATCAAGACGCTGAAGGGTGGACAGCGACCCCAGTGTTGTAGGCAGCCTCTCGAGGCAGTTGTGTGTCACAGAGAGGAAGGTAAGGGTGGGCAGGGCCCCCAGGGCTTCGGGCAGCTCTGACAGACAATTGTGAGAAAGCAGCAAGGAATGCAAGCCGCGCAGTTCCAGGATGCAGGTCGGCAGCGTCTCCAGCCTGTTGAAGCTCAGGTCCAAGTGGGCCAGGCAGACCAAGTCACTCAGGCCAGCAGGCAGAGTGGTCAGGGTACCGTGAAGGCAGGCACCCAGGGCACCCCGGCTCTGGCCCCCTGGAAGTGGGGGAGACAGCGGTAGCCCTCAGGGTTGGAGTTTCGGTTCAACCTTGACTGCCAGAGAAAGCAGTAGAAAGGAAGCTTCCCTTTGAGGCCAGCCATTGGGACAGAGGAAGACAGAAAAGCAGACACAGAAGAGCACCAGCTCATAGCAGATGACGGTATTATCCAAGAACAATTGGGATCTGCAGATACGCAACTGGGCACCTTCAGCATCCCAGGCTCAGGAGAGAGCACCCAGCCAGCCTCACTTTGGGGAGGAAGGTGATAGGGCTGAGGACAGGGGACAGGGGTGGGGTAGGGGTTCATACCTGAGGTGCAGGGAGGAGAGAGGTCTGGAGCTAGGGCGGGGACAGGATGGCCTTTGTGGACCAAAAGGCAGAGTCAAAGCAGGGCTAGAGATGAGGCCAGGATCGAGAGTAAGGGTACTCACCTTTGAGGACCAGGGAGCGAAGGCGCAACAGACTCCACGGAACCTGGGCTAGGGTGTCATCTAGCAGTCGAGGGTCCTCGTGGGTACTGAGTCGCAAGAACTCCACCTGCAGCAGCTGTGGGGGCTGCTGGGAACACAGGTATTGCAGCCGATGGCAGCCCCCTGGGCGTATGTCCAAGTTCAACTGGTTCCCAGCCAGGAGAAAAGGTGCCCCAGGCCTGGAATCCACAGCCTCCACAGCGGGTCTTGCAGCATCCTCTGCAGCAGTTTCCTCCGGCTGCAGCCCCTCCAACACTGCAGCCATCACCCATGGAAGGTCCTCGGGGACCAGACATGTCCCAGCTTGCCAAGCAAGCCTGCTCAGGCAAGGCTGAAGGAAGCTGCAGAAGCAGGGGGAGGAGTGAGCTGTAGGGGACCAATTCCTTCTCCGGATCAGAGTAACAGTAACTCAGCCTGGAAACAGGCAGCTCTTGGAACCACTGGCCCAAGAACCCAGGGCCTGAAGGGTACAGAGTGGAGTGGTCACTGCAGCCCAAGGACCTACATCTGTGCTGTTAATGAGAACTGTATCATCCCACCCGGGAGGGGCACTGGCCAGGGAGGCTCTGTGAACAGCTGGCCAGGCGAATTCTGCTAGACCAAGGGGAATCTGGCCACGTGATCCCTGACCCCACCTACAGGGCTCTTGCAATAAGGGCCAACCTTCAACTTTCACACTCATCAGTTTGGGGAGGACCCAGTGACCCTCTTCCACTGCAGGCGTTTCTTGTGCATGAGAGAGTCAATAAACAGTGCGAAGGGGAGCCAAGAGGACTTTGGGGTCCCAGGACAAGGATATCACATCGCGGCCCCTAGAAGAGGCTCTCGCGCCACAATTCCCAGTTCACACCTCCGTCATATGGGAAACGCAGAGAGGGGCTCCGTTGGCATGGAGTAGCTTTGGTTCCGCCTCAGCAGCAAACTTCCCGCCGCCCACTGAGTACCTGCCACGATGATCTCCGCGCCAGATCAGGCGCGCTCCACGCCGGCTTCCCGCCGGCGCGCTTCCGGGCGGGCGGGCAGCGGCTCGGGCTCCGCCCTTCCCGGCTGGCCAGTAGGAGCACCCTGGGACTCTGACTCCCACCTCCTGTTCAGTTGCCGGTACTAGACGTTGCGCATGGAAAACTCACTGCTTCAGACCTTCATAACCCCAGACCTGCTGTAGCACTATATAGTCTGGGTCCAAAGTACATTCTAAGGCAGCAATTTTTTGGGAGAACTTTAGGGAATTATCGCACTCCTTGTTAGAAGCTAGAACTCTGAAAGTTTGTGCAGCTAGCACCAAGGGCTTCCTGCGGGAACCCTGTACGACAGCGGTTCCCAACTTGTGGGTCGAGACCCTTTGACAATCCTCTATCTTCAAAAATATTTACATTGTGATTCATAACACCAGTAAAATTACAGTTATGAAGTAGCAATGAAAATGATTTTATGGTTAGGGGGTCACTACAGCATGAAGAACTGTATTAAAGGGTCTTAGCGTTAGAAAGGTTGAGAACCACTGAGTCTAGGACTTCCTTCCCAGGCTCTACAGTGAACTCTAGCTTGTTGGAGCTTGGATGTCCTCCTCACTGAACATCAATCTGGACCAGCTGCCTAGACAGTGAGCTTCCTGGCTTTGCCTCTCTGAATCCTGTGTATCTCACAAGAAAAACAACAAAAAGTTGAGATACGAGATCTTGCCTAAGTCCTTTAATTGGTGAATATAGAAGCCAATACTCAGCATCCTCAACAGAGCTGGTGGACAGTCTACAGTCTATGCGATGGGCAAGCTCCCTGTTAGGCCTTGCTGCTTCCATTCTGTCTAGTATCTGTCTCTTTTTAAGTTTCCATAAGCTGCTAGAAGGATCCTTATAAAAACCAGTCCCAGGCCGGGCGGTGGTGGCGCACGCCTTTAATCCCAGCACTCGGGAGGCAGAGCCAGGTGGATCTCTGTGAGTTCGAGGCCAGCCTGGTCTCCAAAGCGAGTTCCAGGAAAGGCGCAAAGCTACACAGAGAAACCCTGTCTCGAAAAACCCAAAAAAAAAAAAAAATAAAAATAAAAAAAAAAAATAAAAACCAGTCCCAGGAGCTTAGTATAACTGCAAGCCCAGTACCTAGCTGAGATGGGAGGATTAACCATCCTGGGCTGCACAGGAAGACCCTGTCTCAAAAGTAATAATTGTAGGAATATTACTTAACTTTATACTAGTGAGCTGGGCATAGTGGTACATGCCTTCAGTCTGCAAAAGTGTTCTTCATCATTGAGCCATCTCTCCAGCCCTGTTGTGTATTAAAGAAACAACAACATTTAAAAAAAAATCATGCCAGGTATGGTGTGCATGCCTTTAATCCCAGCACTCTGAAAGTAGAGGCAGGTGGATCTCTGTGAGTTCCAGGTAAGCTGGAGTTATATGATGAGACACTGTCTCAAAATAAAATAAAAGTCTGGAGGAATAGCTCATCATCCATTTCAGGCCTCTTACAACTGCCTGTACCTCTAGTTCCAGAGGAACTGATGCCCTCTTCCGGCTTCTGAAGGCACTGCATACATGTGGTGCACATACAAGCAAGCAGGCACACACATTCACATTAAAACAAAAATCAATGATGGGGCTAGAGAGATGGCTCTGCTGTTAAGACTATGGGCTGCTCTTGCGGAAGATCTTGATTTCGTTCCCTGCACTCACAGGGCAGTTCACAATCATCCCTAATTTCAGTTCCAGAGCATCTGGTGCCCTCTTCTGACCTCCAAGAGCACCAGGCACACAAATGGTGCACACACATGCAAATAAAACACTCATATAAACTAAATGAATCTTTGTAAAAACAAAAACAAACCAAGAAGAAAGACAACATGCACGTTCTAGCTTAAACCACTGAATCCTGTTGTGATTCAGATCGGAGCCATACCTTGCCAGGTGGCTTCCCTACATCATCCTAGCTCTATAAGAAAATCCTTCTGGGGGCTGGAGAGATGACTCATTGTTTAAGAGTACTGGTTGTTCTTCCAGAGGACCTGAGTTCAATTCCCAGCACCCACATGGTGGCTCACAACCATCTATAATGGGATCTGATGCCCTCTGTCATGCAGATGTCTATACAGGAAGACAGAACACTAAAAGACATAAATAAATCTTAATAAAAAAAAAAAAAAACCTCTCCAGGCAGTGGTGGCGCACGCCTTTAATCCCAGCACTCAGGAGGCAGAAGCAGGTGGATCTTGGTGAGTTTGAGGCCAGCCAGGTCTACAGAGCGAGATCCAGGAAAGGTGCAAAACTACACAGAGAAATCCTGTCTCAAAAAAACCAAAACCAAACAAACAAACAAAACCAAAAAACCTCTGTGCCTCAAGTATGGGTAAGAACAGCAACACGCAGTGTGGGCTCATTCTAGCAATGTGAGGCACTACACACAAAGGAAGGTGTACACTGTCCTAGAGGCCTCCCCCATCCTCCACCCCACAGTTGGAGTCTGCCAGCATAACCTATCTCCAGCCAACTTCTAGTCTTGGCGTGGTAAGAGCAGGCTTCTCATCTCTCAGCTCAAAGTTACTACTTGGGAAGATTTACTGGTCTTGGAAGACAAAAACTTCCTGACCTAAAACTAGGATTTACTTTCTTTCTCTCTGTTTCTGCATTTATTTATGTATACATGAGTGTGGGTTGGAGGACAACTTGTGATAGTAACTAACTTCTTTCCACCCTGGGAATCCTGGAATGGAACTCAAGACTGTCATGCTTGGTCACATGTGCCTTTTACATGCTAAACTGTCTCTCTGTTCTGTCCTGGGCAGATAGGGACAAATTGAGGCTAATAACTCAGGCCTCATCATTATCCAAGGGCATGGGTTCCAGCAGCGTTGAAGTACTGCTCGGCAGGGTCAGGCTCTTCTGGCCTAGCTGCGAAGAAAGGAGGGCTCTCAGGGCCCAATGTAGAGGCACATTTTCTTTTTGCTGTTGTCTTTTGTTTTGTTTTGAGGCAAGGTTTCTAAGTGTTACTCTGGCTCTCCTGGAACTCGCTCTGCAGACCAGGCTGTCCTGGAACTCACAGAGCTCCACCTGCCTCTGCCTCCGGAATGCTGGGATTAAAGATGTGCGCCATCAGGGCCGGTGCACTCGGGAGGATGAGGCAGACGCATATCTGTGAGTTCGAGGCCAGCCTGGTTACACAGATGTCCAGGATAGCGGGGGCTATATAGAAACCCTGTCTCAAAAGAAAAAAAAAAGGATGTCACCAGATATGACCGCTGTCACTAAGCCTCAGACAGCTCGCCCACCTTTCCCAGGCCAGCTGAACATGGGAGCCATTAGCTCCAGCCAGACTTCGGGTCTCTGGTGCCCAAGGCCAGGAACGACCCACACATCCATAGTTTGAACCTCCAGCCCCATTTAGCCCACGTGCAACCAGAGAAAGCTAAAGGGGTGCGCACTTCCGGTGGCAAGTTCCTCTCTAGCCGCGATGCATCATGGAACTTGCAGTTCGCTTTGAAAGTTACGACTCGGGCGGGGCCTCAGCACTGCATGTTGGGAGCTGTAGTGCCGCGTGGCATGCTGGGAACGGGAGGCGTTAAAGGGGTTTGAAAGCTCCTTGAGATTCTTCGCCCGTGTCCTCATGGATTTCGGGGGGCTCTCGCCCACGTTACATGAGCAGCACCTGGCCCCTGAACAACCCATTGTCTTTATTGTGGGGAACACCTGATTGGGGATAACGGCTTCCTTCCGGTCGCCCATTTCGTCAATGGGAGGCGCCCCCATCCGGCGCCGGGCGAGTCCCGGGGGCTTCTGGGAAGCGGTTTACCCCCGCCCACTGCGTCAGCGTCTTCCTTTCGCTGCCTGACGCCGCCGAGGTCGCACGCGTGAGGCCTGTCCGCAGCAGCCGAGTGAGTGGGCTTGCGGGTCGGGCCGCGGGCAGGGGTTGGGACCGAAGGGCGGGTGGCGGCCGGGATTCGAGGGGTGCACGGCCTCCCATGTTCGGAAGTTTCGGGCCGCACGTGGCCTCACTTGTTGGCTAAAATGGAGGGGTCGGCAGAAGGCCTCTTGGGTTATGCCACCGCCGTATCCTCTCTCTGTCTCATTCAGCATGCGCTACGTCGCCTCTTACTTGCTTGCCGCCCTTGGGGGCAACTCCTCTCCCAGCGCCAAAGACATTAAGAAGATACTAGACAGCGTGGGCATCGAGGCGGACGATGATCGGCTCAACAAGGTAGCTTGCTGCTTCCCTGGACCTTGTGGTGCGGGTACAAATGTCGACCAGTGGCGCCCCTTATCAAATTAGATCTGAGTCTTACCTTAAAAAAATGTAGATGACTTGTTCGAAAGGAACAAGTTTAATGCAACTGATTTGCGTGGTCTTACTAATTTTTGAGACAAAAGTTTCACTGTGTAACTCTAGCTAACCTGGAATTCACTATGTACACCAGATTTTTTTTTTAAAAGGGTTATTACTTCTGGGTGCACTAGGAGATACATGCACATGAGTGTAGATGCTTCAGAAGTCAGGAGCATCTCGGACTCCCTAGAGCTGGAGTTAGGGTTATCTGACAGATACAAGTGCTGGGAGTCAAACCCCAGGTCTTGGCAAGAGTAGCCCAAGCTACAGAGTGAGATCCTGTCTGGGAGCGGGGTCGGGTGGGGGAGAAAGACCCAAAAGAGTAGTACATGTCTTTAGCAGTGGAGCTATCTCTTTGCCCCTAAAATCCTCTAGAAAAGCATTTTTGCCCTCTTTAGGCTGTGCAGGAGTGGAACCTAAACTCTGTCATCAGCCTTAGAATGTTAGCATCTAAAATTTCCCATTGCCACTGTCTTTGTTCAGAAGACTCAGTCCTGTGGTTCTGGGCCAGCTACTGTGAGTATAGCGCAGGTCTAGAAGCTTCAGAACACTCTCCTGTGTGTTGCGCCACCAGATCTGGCTAGGTATGTGTTGATATTGACCATTAGGTATGGTTGTTTACTGCAGGTCATCAGTGAGCTGAATGGAAAAAACATTGAGGATGTCATCGCCCAGGGTGAGTTCATTTAGGGCAAGAGTTATATGTTTGTGGTCCATCCTAATCCCTGCTGATCAGTCAATGATCTGCCAGGCTTCGCTTGTGGACCAGAGCATCCTAGAAGCCCTGCCAGAGTTGAGCAAGGCCTTTTAGGCTTCTGCCAGCAGCACTTCTGAACATGTTCAGGAGCCGGCAGTGGGAGCACTCTTTCACTGCTCCTTCCAGGATGTGAAAAGCCTTTTCTGTGAGCAGGGACTGGGGCTGCTGAAAATTGGTACAGTCCCTTAAACCCTCTCTTACTAGCCTGATAGATTGCTGGTACCGCCAGACTGGGACTTGCAAGTTGAGCAGGCAAAACTAGCTTGGCAAATGGCCTAGTTTGTGCACTCACCTCTGTTGCAAAAAAGATACTTCTTGTTGGGCGGTGGTGGCACACGCCTTTAATCCCAGCACTAGGGAGGCAGAGGCATATGGATCTCTGTGTGAGTTCGGGGCCAGCCTGGATTACAGAGGGGAGTTCTAGGAAAGACACAAAGCTACACAGAGAAACCCTGTCTCGGAAAAAAAAAAAAAAAGATACTTCTTGGGGTAAACATGGTTGTTGACTTTTTATTTTTTATATTTTTATTTTTTTGGGTGAGGGCGGGATTCAAGATAGGATTTCTCTGTGTAGCAGTTCTGCCTGTCCTGGAACTTGCTTTGTAGACCAAGCTGGCCCCTAACACACAAGAGATCTGCCTGCCTCTCTCCCCTTAGTGTTGGGATTAAGAGCATGTACCACCACTGCCCAGCCCAGTCTTTAAATTTTTTAAATTTAATTTTTTTATTTGGGGGCAGGGTTTCTCTGTAGGCCAGGTTGGCCTTGAGCTCAGATTCACCTGCCTTCTGACTGCTGGGTTATAAGCATGTATCATTAACTCAATATATAATATATATGTCTATATATATATAAAGTTTATTATGTTCATTTGTGTTTTGTGTGCATGTATGTGAGGGTGTCAGATCCCCTGGAACAGGAGTTACAGACAGGTGGGTGCTGGAAATTGAACCTGGGTCCTCCAGGAGAGCAGCAAGTGCTCTTAACTGTTGAGCCATCTCTCCAGTCCCCAGCTTATTTAATTTTGTGTGTGTGTGTTGTTTTTAAGTTTTTTGAGATAGGGCTTCTCTGTGTAAGAGCCCTGGCTGTTTATTTTTAAAACAAGGTTTCTTTGGCCCAGGCTGGTTTTGCACTCAGCTCTTGCTGAGATTAAAGGCATACACCTGGATTGTCCATCTTAAGGTCACAATGGGGCTAATTTCCAGAAACCAAGTTCTTGTCTTAGTGGGTCAGGATAGAAAAAATAAGTCCTGAATAATGTTATGTTCCTCAGTGTGTACAGTGGTGCCTTGTGATTTAGAGTGAAAGCAGGTAACAGGACCACTGGTGTATAACAGCTGCTCTTGGTTAGTCACTCTACCTACCCTTGTGGAAGAGCTTTCTTGGCTGGGCCCTGTTCTGGTCTCATGTTCTTTCTCTTTATGTAGGTGTTGGCAAACTTGCCAGTGTGCCTGCTGGTGGGGCTGTGGCTGTTTCTGCTGCCCCTGGCTCTGCAGCTCCTGCTGCTGGTTCTGCCCCTGCTGCAGGTAAGTAGAGGTCTGATGGGTGGGTGGCCATCAAAGGGGATTGGTACTCAAAGCTGTTGAGTGGGGCTGGCAGGGCAACCTGAATGAGTTCTAGGGGCAGTGCTTACTATGGTGTTCCTCCACAGCAGAGGAGAAGAAAGACGAGAAGAAGGAGGAGTCCGAGGAGTCAGATGATGACATGGGATTTGGCTTGTTTGATTAAATTCCTGCTCCCCTGCAAATAAAGCCTTTTTATGTATCTTGAGTGGCCTTTAAGTACATTGTCAACAGGTGACACCCATACTGTGTCCTCAGCCCAGGCTCCTCCCAGAGAGCTGAAGTTTGTTGGGTGAATGGTGGGGGGAGAGGACTTCCCATTTCCCTTAATTTTGTTAAAACCTTGGCTTTTGAGAACAATCAGGTCCTGTGAGAGAGATCCTTGCAACTTTCATGGAACACTCTGAAAGTATGTATGGGAAGTATGAGGCTGAGTTGAGATGCTGTTTGAGTGGTTTCACAGGCTCTGCTGTGAGGAGAGGTACCTGGAGACTCTTAAGTTCATAGATGAAGACTTCACTTAAACTCACCTGGAGGGTGAAGATGTCCCTAATTTTCCCTGTAAGGATCATGGTGTTAAGGTAGATGGCTTCAGTTATTAAGCTTTTCAGAGTGGTGGTCTAGCTATCTAATGTCCAGTCCTCTGCTTTGGGCATACGTGGAAATGTGGATAGAGGGTCACATGCTGGCGTATAAACTTAATATTCCTAGGGTGGATCTGTTCTCCCTCAAAGGCTGCTCTGGAATGTGAAGCCCAGGCCTTTTAACTCACTGTCACTTCTGCACAAGCTGGTCAACAAGGGACTCAACTAGGCCAGACTACACTCCAGTGTAAATGGTCTGCCTTTTAGGGAGACAGCTGAGTGTCTTACAGAGGGGCTGGAGGCAATCACTCTGCTTCCTTGTGGCAGGGAATAAAATTTGGGACAGCATGAAGCCAGGAGGGGTGGTGGGTCTGGAGAAGATCAGAAGCCATAGCTTCAACGCTGTGGAGTGAGCTGCCAGGGAGCAGGTAAAGGTAGGGCTGGGGACAGGAGGGTCTCAGAAGGGAGGTTCAGGGTTCTGGGCAAGACTCAGTTTCACTCTGGACCCTGAAAGAAGGGGCCTGTCCTCATAAGGCTGCTAATGGGAATTACCCGGTCTCAGGATTCTGAGAAAGGCCAACCATGTTCTTGGCACCAGCATCTCCCAGGGGCCTGAAAGCATGTGTACCCAACAGCCTGGTGCTCTGTGGAAATAAGAGCAGAGGTCCTACTGAGCTGCTGCAGCACTCTCCCTTGGGCCTGTTACTGGAAAAAAATTGTGTGGAAGACCTTAAGTCCTTGGCTTCTTCCTGTGACCACCATAAGCCCTAGACTTATTGGCTGCCTCTGAGGACGTGTTCCTACTGTACCATGCCTCTAAAGTGGTAGTATTAATCAGGACATACCCTTATACCCCCACCTTGAGAGTATTTGACCTCAAATTCATGATGTGGCTCAGGCCAGTGTGGAAACAAATTTGCCTAGCATGAAGGATTTTTAAAAGTCAAGTTCTGAGCCTGGTGGTAGTGGTGCATGCCTTTAATCCCAATAGGAGGAGGTAGGGGGAATCTCTGAGGTCAAGACTAGCCAGGGTGGTTACACAGAAGTCCTGTCTCAAAAAATAAAGTTCTGCCCAGCACTTGGGAGGCAGAGCCAGGCGGATCTCTGTGAGTTCGAGGCCAGCCTGGGCTACCAAGTGAGTTTCAGGAAAGGCGCAAAGCTACACAGAGAAACCCTGTCTCGAAAAACCAAAAAAAAAAAAAAAAAGTTCTGGACCCGGAGGGAGTATAGTGGCAGAGTGCACCTAGGACGCCCTGAGTCAGTTGGCTCACAAATAACATGTAACTCCAAATCCAGGGGTTCATATGCAGCCATTTGACTAATGGGTATCTACACATTTTTAAAAATCAGACTAGACAGACTGCTTAGTGCGTTAAAAGTACTGTTCTAACAGAACATGATTTCTGTTCCCAGTATCAACACTTGAGTGGTTTGGTGATTCACAACCCTCTATATTTCAAGGGGATCTGACTTCTCTGGACTCTGGGCACCTGCACTCAGGTGCACATACCCCTTCTACATACACATAATTTAAAAAATAAATGTAAGCTGTGTGTTGTGCACTTGGGAGGTATGTCAGAATTCCAAGAAAGCCAGGACAGCCAGGGCCACAAAGACTGTCTCAAAAACAACAAACATCCTATTACATCTTCCCTGCTCACCCCTCCTTGTTTGCCAGAGCTCTGCGTAGTAGTCCCAGGGGCACCTCACCTCGTTACCCTATTGTACCCATGCCTGCACTTCGTAGTTGTGCTGAGTGTGAAATGGCTCCATCACAGGGTGAATCACCCTGGTTTCAGAGCAATGTCTCCTGTGTCCTTGCAGCCACACAGCTCTCCATTCCAGATGCTAGGATCCCTTCTGTGGCTTCACTTTCTCTCCATCCACCAGCAGCCCCACTATGTCTCCTGGCCTCATTCCCAATTTAGTCCTTGCCCTGGGGACCACCAGAGGGATCTTTAAAACCAGCCCTGGCACCCATTCACTCAGCCCTCACTCTCCTTGTGTACATTTCCTTCTCTTGATGGCTGACATCCAGGGGTTTTCAACATTACTGACCGGACCACCTGCCAAAGAACTGTACTCCCTTTTCTGAGAAAACTTCACAAACAAAATGGCCAATAAACTCAACTGCCTCAATCCTAGCCTCCTCATGACGTGTAAGGATCCCCTTGAGTGTTTTGTTTTTTGTGTTTTTTTTTTTAAGATTTATTTATTATGTATACAGTGTTCTGTCTGCATGTATGCCTGTAAACCAGAAAGGTCACCAGATCTCATTACGGATGGTTGTGAGCCACCATGTGGTTGCTGGGAATTGAACTCAGGACCTCTGGAAAAGCAGCCAGTTCTCTTAACTGCTGAACCATCTTTCCAGCCCCCCCTTGAGTGTTTTATTCCCTACACACTTCCTTCTCCAGCTGCAAGCCCGTAAATGGTGTATCTTTAAAAGGCTCTTAAGGTAGGCACCTCTAATCCCAGCATTTGAGAGCTGAAGGAAGGTTCAAGACTTCAAGGACTGAAGTCCATAGATAAGAAAAAAAGTATATCAGCACATCCTTTAGCTTATGTCTAAAATTAGGTTATTTGTAGATTAAACAGCTCCACCCCCCCCACACACACACACACACCACCGAGTCACATACATAGCTACTGCTCAGGCCCTTAAGCACATTACTAAGGCCTGCACTTGGCTCTTAAGTGCCTCTCATTTGTATGCTTAATAAACCATTCCTACTGGTCTTGAAATTCTTTGTCATGCATGTTAAGGACCTGGGTCACCTGAATAAGAGTCACTGTGGGTTAGAGATTTTACATTTGTACTTCTGCTGTTGTGGCAGGTCTAAAGCTGGCTGGGAGTGAGAATTTCTGGGCACCCATCACCCCAACCCCTCGTTAGGGGTAGGGCAAGATGAAAGCTGTTCCTAGGTCTAAGCTAGCCTAGCCTGTCCCACAGCTGAGAGAACAATGCGGAAAAAAGGGCGGGAGGGTGACATTACCAGGAGCACACTGCTTCCTGGGACAACTAGTTGGGGTGAGACCTTATTAGTCTGAGACCAGGTAGACCCCATAAATCAGGAGCCAGGGTCAGATAGCTACAGACCCAGGTGAATAGCCAGGGTATCGAGGGACCCTTAGGGTGGAGCGGGACTTGGTCTCTGGCAGTATTTGCTGGGCCAGTGTCAGTCTGTTGTTGGGCCTGTGATTCTTGGCCATTGAAGTCTGAATGGATCAGGTTTTCAGGCCCAAGAGGGTACTATCTGCATTTTCACTCAGGTTCCAGCTCTTCTGTGTCTGGGTGGGTGTCCCTGGAGAAGGGGGGCGCCTGCTCACAAACCAGAGTTCTTCTTAGCCAGTACCCCGGTCAGTATGAAACTCTCACCTCTCCACTCACCCAGGCCCCCTAAGTCCAGTGGCTGCCCACACTGTGGGGTCGAAGGAAGGAGGCTGAAGGGCCGGGAGGCCCTCCGGATCTCTCAGATGGCTTTGCCCAGCAGGTGTCGTGAGGGGCGGGGCCTCAGGGGCGCGGCCGTTCCCGGCGCAATCCAGTTGGGTCTCGCGCTCGAGTCCTGCCCCCTGCCGACAGGCCCCGCCCTCGTCCCCGCACTAAAACACCTCCTCCTCTGCCTCCCGGCACAGCGTCTCCGCCTCCGCCGGCGGGGACCCCAAGCTACCGCGACTGCGGGACCCACAGCCCGCAGGACACTGAGCCACGATGTTTCCGAGGGAGACCAAGTGGAACATCTCGTTCGCTGGCTGCGGCTTCCTCGGTGTCTACCACATTGGCGTGGCCTCCTGCCTCCGTGAGCACGCGCCCTTCCTGGTGGCCAACGCCACGCACATCTACGGCGCCTCGGCAGGGGCGCTCACCGCCACGGCACTGGTCACTGGGGCCTGCCTGGGTAAGCCCGGCTGGGCGGAAGTTAGGCAGGGTGTGGTGGGTACCGCGCGGGGCCCGGTGGATGCTCTAGCGTCCCACGCCCAACCCGCGTAGGGAAGCTGATCCAGCCGCTAGTGTAGGAGGCGCAGTGGAGGGGCCGTCTCTGTCTGTATCCCGGAACTACGACCAAAGGTCCAGTTCTGAGCCCAGGTCCGGGGCGGGTTTCTGATTTGTTTTGTTCCCAAAGTGTCCAGGGATTGGGGTGGGACCTGGCGCGCTCCCGGCTGATGGCATTCTTTCCGGTGCCTGTGTAACCCACCTCAAGGGGCACAAAAGTTGGGGACAGGCAGGTGCTGCCAGACCGTGTTATTGGAAAGAGAAAGTAAATCGTGGGCGGGACCATGAGGGAGAGGGGAGGGGCATACTTCACCCCGAACAGGCTGCCAGCGGTCACTGCGTCCTGAAGCTCTGTTGCCGCAAACTGCTGTGGCTCTGGGGCCTAGTACAGGGGTATCTCGAATGGGCATCTGGACAAAGTGGTGTAACCCCTAAAGAGGTTTGACTCTGAAGGCAAAGCCCGCTAGAGTCAGGGCTGGGCATAAGTGCTTCCTCTGTCCATAGTGCATTGACAGCCTGACTCCCCAGCTGTGGCCAGCTGACCCACTTCACAGGGTGGCCATACTTCTGTGCTCTGAAGGGTTTCAAGAGTACAGAGATGGAAACGGGGGCCTGGGTCTCCGGCTACTTCCATGGTACTTCTGGCTACCACGTGGGTTGTTGTTTACAGCACACAACGTTCTTCCTCAAGAGTCCTGGGAACTGCTGCCCATCCCCCATCCCATAGGTCAGCCAAGGTGACAAGGGAGTCCTGCTCAACTGGAGCCTGTCTAGGGTTCCCTGTTATCTCTTTCCCATCACCACTGCCCTGAGGAGGGAAGAGGAGAAGGAACACAACTCTAGTTCTTGGTACCTTGGGGGTTCACCCTGTGATCTTGCCCACTGGCTCTCATGGAGGCCTTCAGAGGAGTGAGTATAGTGGGCAGCTGGTCTCAGACACACATCAAGACTCCACCTGAGTTGAGAATGAGTTAGGGATAACAGTCTCATAGAACTACTCACTACCAATACCTTTCACAGGTGATCTTGGGCAGCTAGAGCCATGGCAGTGTGGCAGGTGTCAGCTGTGAGCCCTTGGTCTATATACCCACGTCTGCCAAGGACGGAGTCTTAGAGGAGGGCATAGATCCTCAGGGGAAAAGCCCTAGACTCTCCTCTCCCTGGCCACTCTGCTTTTGTTCTGGGCCAGCACCCATGGGCTCCTAAGAGTGTTGGTGTACTGCAATGAGACAATCATGTCTCCCCAAGAGGCGGGCTCACCACTTTAGCCTGATGCTCTCAAGGTTGTGCTTCCTGGGCTGAACTGGGCTCTGTGGATCTGCCCACCCACCTATATCTGGCCAAGTAGGTGAAGGTTGAAGCAGGTCAGAGTTGATCCTATGTCTTCCTCACTCTCTGGGCCACGTGCCATACCATGTTAGGCACAGTGACTCATGGGGACAGGCAGTTGGGAAATACCAGGCACAGGGCAGATTCCAATCCCAGCTGGCCAGCTCCTGCTGTATGCCATCCCCAGGGTGGTGGCCTTCCTCCTTCCACTTAGGTGGCAAAGTCCCAGCTGTGAGCCAGTCCCCAGTGTGGGCATGGGCGTCTTCAGGATCAACAGAATGTAATCCATCTGAGTACCTCCTGGGTGTGGAGTCCTGAGGGAAGGATGGTTACTAAGCTGGAAGAGTTGTCCCTGATCCTGGCCCTGCTGTTCCAGGTGAAGCAGGTGCCAACATTATTGAGGTGTCCAAGGAGGCCCGGAAGCGATTCCTGGGCCCTCTGCACCCCTCCTTCAACTTGGTAAAGACCATCCGTGGCTGTCTACTGAAGACCCTGCCTGCTGATTGCCATGAGCGTGCCAGTGGACGCCTGGGCATCTCCTTGACTCGTGTTTCAGATGGAGAGAATGTCATCATCTCTCAGTTTAACTCCAAGGATGAACTCATCCAGGTAAGCCCTGGAGAAACTGTGTCAGGGGATGGGATTAACTCAAGGAAGGATCCTGCTACTGCCCTGTCTTATCCTTCAGGCCAATGTCTGCAGCACTTTTATCCCAGTATACTGTGGTCTCATCCCTCCTACCCTCCAAGGAGTGGTAAGTATCCCTGCTTAGCCCTGCCTTGGAATTACAAGCATCATCTACTGTCTGGGCTGTAAGATAAAGAGGTGGAGGAGAAAGGCCAGCAGGGCACCTCTCTCCTCTCCAGTCCCTCACTTCCTGTGGCTGGTGCCCATCCCAATTCCATCTGTCTGGCTATTTACTGAGTCCCCAGTGGCCAATGCCTAGTGGGCAAAAGGCTCAAATGGAACAGCTACCAGATAGAGTTACCAGAATACCCAGCAGGCCCCTAACCATGTGACTATGAATGTGTGTTCTTGCAAAGCGGTATGTGGACGGCGGCATTTCAGACAACTTGCCACTCTATGAGCTGAAGAATACCATCACAGTGTCCCCGTTCTCAGGCGAGAGTGACATCTGCCCACAGGACAGCTCCACCAATATCCATGAGCTTCGTGTCACCAACACCAGCATCCAATTCAACCTGCGCAATCTCTACCGCCTCTCAAAGGCTCTCTTCCCACCAGAGCCCATGGTGAGACAGCACAGCTAGTCCTGTCTAAGCACCAGGGGAGAGAGCTGCTGGGGACTTCTGAGCACTGGGACAGCATTGGGACAGCACTAGAACTTGTATATGCGCTTTCCAAAGGTTACGGCACTTCAAGCCTGGACAGGTTGTTGGTGGAAGTGGCTATTACAGGGACTTAACTGTCACAGCAGGACTTAACTGCACCTGTCTGGGCTGATTTAGACATTCCTTTCACAGGTTCTCCGAGAGATGTGCAAGCAGGGCTACAGAGACGGACTTCGATTTCTTAGGAGGAACGGTGTGTGGGCAGCCCTGGGTTGGGAGAAGCTGGTTCTGCAATGCCCCCTAGTGGCCATAAACTCTGATTGCATCTGTCACCCCACCCCCACCCCAGGCCTACTGAACCAGCCCAACCCCTTGCTAGCGCTGCCCCCAGCTGTCCCCCAGGAAAAGGATGCAGAGGGAGCTGCTGTGACTGAGGAGAGGACTGGAGAGGAGGGCCAATTGCAGCCCCATGGAAAAGATAGAATTCTAGAGCACCTGCCTGCCAGACTCAATGAAGGTGTGCCGGGGGAAGGAGGGCGGAGGAAGGAGCAGGGTCCCTTGGAGAAGCTTGGCCAGGAGGTCTGGGAGGCTTCCACTTCCCTAACTGGCTACCACCTTCCCACCTGCAGCCCTGCTGGAGGCCTGTGTGGAGCCTAAGGACCTGATGACCACCCTCTCCAACATGCTGCCCGTGCGCCTGGCGACTGCCATGATGGTGCCCTATACTCTGCCACTGGAGAGTGCAGTGTCCTTCACCATCCGGTGAGAGTGGGAAGGGGCATCTGGGGAGAACACATCAGCATATCATACATCAAGGACAGAAGTCTAGGATCATCCATGAGCCATGAGCTGCTAGGGAGATTTGGGGAGGGTAGGTGCTCAGTATCTGGCAGGTGAGCCTCAGAGCCCAACTTGTTTCTGGGGTCATACTTGGTGCTCCCTTCCTAGCTTGTTGGAGTGGCTGCCTGATGTTCCTGAGGATATCCGGTGGATGAAAGAGCAGACAGGCAGCATCTGCCAGTATCTGGTGATGAGGGCCAAGAGGAAACTGGGTGACCATCTGCCCTCCAGGTGAGCTGCCATGACCGCCCACCTGGGACCTGGGGCCTGGGACCTCAGACCTCCACTCAGCCTCCTTTTCCTCCATGTCTCCTCGCCTGCAGACTGTCTGAGCAGGTGGAACTGCGTCGAGCCCAGTCTCTGCCCTCTGTGCCACTGTCTTGCGCCACCTACAGTGAGGCACTGCCCAACTGGGTCCGAAACAACCTCTCACTGGGGGACGCGCTGGCCAAGTGGGAGGAGTGCCAGCGTCAGCTGCTGCTGGGCCTCTTCTGCACCAACGTGGCCTTCCCTCCGGATGCCTTGCGGATGCGCACACCTGCCAGCCCTGCCTCCACAGACCCTGCCCCTCCACAGCATCCACCTGGCCTCCCACCTTGCTGAGAGCGGTCATTCCCAGTTTCCTTGGCTACCAGCCAAGCTCCAAGTTGCCCTGCCCCACTAAGGGGAGCCCTGGGGCTGTGGAATGAGGACATGGGACCCTGCACAGCTGCAAAGGGGGGTTTGATGTAAAGCCTTTGACCAGCCACTCACTATGCTGCTCCTGGTGGGGAGGGATAGGAGTGACCTCCCTGGAGCCCACAGAGCCCCTCCCCTTCACCTGTGCCTTACTCTCCCCCCCTGCCTGCCCACCACAGTGCAGGGTCAGTCCTGAGAACTCCACAGCTGCTGCTTCTCCCCGTTTTTCAAGTTTCCTTGCAGAGTGTGTGAAGACTTATTTATTTTTGCCAAAGTAGATACAATAAAAGCCACAGCTCAGCTTCTGCCTTCCTCACTTCTGCGTGTTACTCTTGCCTCTGACGGAGGTCAGTGGACAGAGCCATTTCTCAGGTGACCGGCGTCTCGATAGCTAACAGTTGGGCCTCACAGAGTTGCTTTGAGACCTGGCAGCTGGGGACCCTCTCCCAGGGTCAGCCCCCTGGCAAGGACTCATGTATGCTGCTCTGTTTGCCCTGACGCCTGCTGACATGTCTCTTGGGCAGAGTTTCAAGTACCAGCTGATATGATTAGGACCTTAGCATAATAAAAACTAAAATGTTGGCTTGGAGTAGCCCAGTGGTTGAGCATTTGTCCAGCATGCACCAGGCTCGGATTCCATCTCAAGCACTAGGGGGAAAATGTTTACAAAAGGTGTCACCCACACATCCGCTCCACATGGTGACACAGTGAGGGTGTGGATCAGGGCTGACTTCAGGGCTGGATCCCTGTGAAGGCTGAAGCTTCTGGAACTGAGGCCTGGGGACCAGGGAAGCTCAGTCCCTGGCCCACACTGGGCGTCTTGCTCAGAACTTTGTGCTTGGCTCTTCTTTCTTGGTTGTCACACTCCTTATTGCCAGGTACATGTTTGCATGTGCCTTTTCTGTACTGTGACTATACCTGTTTCCTCCCAGAATCTTGGCAGGGGCCTGGAATACTGAGGCAAGGTAGTGAGGCCCTAACTCAAGGGAGCAGTTCACCACTGTTTCCTGAAAGTATCCTCTGCTAGAAGTGTGTGTGTGTGTGTGTGTGTGTGTGTGTGTGTTGTACAGTCCTGGAGGAGGGAGAACTGTGAGTGAGGGATGAGCTTAGCTGTCAATCTGCAGGACTTGGCTTAGTCCTACGTGCTCAGCACCCACTTGCCCCTCCCAAAAGGCGCACAGTGGCTGCGGTTGCAGCCCCTAGCCAACAATAACGGTTGGTCTGGTTATGGGTCCTGGGACAGCAGGACTGGGCGAGCCGGCCAGGCAGGTCCTGGCCTAGGTGCCAGGGGCCGCCCCTCCTCTTGTCTCCAGGTCCTGTCCTATAGGGCCAGCCTGTTGTGGTTCTACTTGAGAAGCACAGGGCCCCCCAGCGCCTCTGCAGCCTGTGACACCCAGGCCAGCTTTTCAGGTCAGTTTAGGGGCTTGATGGGGGGCATACCCTTGGAAGTGGATGGGTTTCCTCCTAAGTAGGACTTTGGCACCATCTCCTTGAGTTCTTCCAGGCCTGGGGGAACCCTAATCAGGACTGTGCCCCAAAAGGAGTGCTGGGAGCAGACTGCTGAGGCGGTCTCAACTGTGTCCCCACACTCACTTAACTCACATAGGAGTGCTGCTAACTTACATGTCATTCGTTAGCATTAAAACTTACAAGACTCCAAACTGGAAAAGTATAGAGAAGAAAGTCTAGTCTCCCCAGCCACGGATACAGCCACTGAAAGTATTTGGTCTATTTCCTGCTCGGCATTTTCCTACACACACTTCTTGGCACCCTAAGTCTGGATATTCCGGGCTGGGTGGGGGCTGGTATCTGCACCTCCGCGGCCTTGATCCCGCCCTGGAAGGGTCTTGGGGGTGGGGGTGAGGGACACTACGTCAACATTGCTGCCCCCTGTGGCTTTCCCGGGAGAGCCAGCCACCCTGGGTCAGGCCACCAAGATAGGAGAGGCGGGACAAAGCAACAGCAGCGCTCTGGTGGATCCACCCGGACGTGCTATCCCGGGGTCTCGGGGCCTGTAAGGCCGCAAGGTCGCTGTGGGTCCGCACCCCTCGCAGGCTGTCGGGGTCCGGGCAGGGCGGGGCTCGCCGCGCGTTTCCGGGAGGAGCGGCCCGTCTGCGGCAGGTGCGGCGGCGCGGCTCGCAGGTAGGCATTGGTTCGCAGGTCCCGCGGCTGGGGGCCCAGTGCCGCACCTGCCGGGCTTCCCTACCCCCAACCCTGGGCTCCCAACCCTGGGCTCCCAGCCCCCTGCGTCCCCCGGTGGTCGCACCTTCGGACCTCTGTGTGGAGCGGCGACCGCACGCGTCTGTCTGGGACGGCTGTGTTCCCGAGGTGCACCGCAGCTAGCCTAGACGTGCGTGGATGAGGTTTGCCTGTGGGCCCACCCGCTGCCCTTCCTCTGGACTCCCTGGAGCCTGGCTGCAGCTCAGCTTCCGGCTGGGATGGACCTCCGGTCCTGTGGAGCCCGGGAGCGGTTGATGACCGTGTCTGGTTGCAGTGAGGGTAGCCGTCAAGGGGGCAAAGACTCCAGGTTGCCCTGACATGCTGCTTCCTCGTGTTTGCTTATTGGATTATCGTTCCTCTCTTCCTGGAATATGGGTCGGGGGAAGATATCCCTAAGGACTGAGAAGTGAGAGAGCCGGTCTGGGTTGGTGTCACCGGTCTGTAGCTTTGGGAAATCTGGGGTTAGTACACTGTGGGACAGACAGGGGGCTCTGAGTAGAGGTGGAATGTTCATTCCAGGAGGTGAGAGGGAGGCCCCAGGGGAAGAGAGAAAGACCAGAGGCTGTCTTAAACCAAGATGTGGAGGTGTTTCTTACAAAAGCTGTCCAGTGCCCAGGGCTGGGGCCTTGCACCTGCACCCTTAAGGCCTTATTGGCAGATGGGAGGGGCTGATGAAGTTTACTCTCTGCTTGCCAGCTGTCAGAAGGCCAGGGTATCACAGGCTCAGGCCTGAGGCTAAGGACTTGGTCAAAAGTGATTCAGCCCTCTTCCTTAGGCAGTCCCAGCTTGGGCTCTCTCAAGTCCAGGATATGGCAGGTTCTTCACCCTCTGGCCCTCTTTCAGTACACAATCTCTCTCCTGGCTGCCAGGAGTTGGCCACCTGTTTTTAGGAGTCTTCTGTAGTAAGTTCACACTCTCACTTTCTTCTTGTTTTGTTTTTAGGGACAAGGTTTCTCTGTGTAACAGTTCTGGCTGTCCTGGAACTCACTCTGTAGACCAGGCTGTCCTCGAACTCACAGAGATCTGCCCGCCTCTGCCTCCCAAGTGCTGGGACTAAAGGCATGAGCCACTATGCCTGGTTTCTCTCTCTCTCTCTCTGAGGTAGGATCCTACTATGTAGCTTTGGATGTCTTGGAACTTGCTATGTAGAGCAGCCTGGCCTTGAATCCACAGATATCTGCCTAACTTTGCCGTAACAGTGCTAGGATTAAAAGTGTATGCCACCCCTATGCCACCTCAGGACAGCCAGGACTGTTACACAGAGAAACCCTGTCTCCAAAACAAAAAAGGATATGCCACCACATCTGGCTCACCCTCACTTTCTCGAACTGTCTCTTTCCTGGGATTCAGGCTTTTCCCAGAATCTCAACTTCCTGAGATAACTGGTCCTGGGCAGCAACTCTGGTGCTGAGCCTGCTTCATCCATCCCCAGAGCACCCCTGCCCCAATGCCTTGCCTTCTGTTCACTTTCCTACCTGGTACAAGGAGGTCCCCAGCACTCTCTCTGCACCCTCTGACACACCTTCACCCCTCCTCCCATTTCTTCTGACCTTCCCTTGGCTTCACAGCACCTACTAGAGTCAAGATCTGCTCCTATGGCCAGCCCTGGGCAGCCTGGGCCCGGGGAGGACCAGGAGGAAGAGGAGACCAAGGGAGTCTCGGCAGGGCATCATCGTGCAGAGATGCTGCAGCAGGCCCAGGAGCTCTTTCTACTGTGTGACAAGGACGCTAAGGGCTTCATCACTAGGCAGGACTTGCAGGTGAGCCACAGTTCCAAGAGACTGCCAGGCCCAAAGCCGACCTTGGCTGCTCACCTTGGTCTTTCTTGCCTGGCTAGGGCCTACAGAGTGATCTTCCCCTTACGCCTGAGCAGCTGGAGGCTGTATTTGAAAGTCTGGATCAGGCCCACACTGGCTTCCTCACGGCCCGGGAGTTCTGCCTAGGCCTGGGTGAGCAGGTCCCGGTCACCTGGAGACCCTATTCAGGCCCCTGTGAGACTCTACACAGCCTGTGCCTTTCACAACTACCCAAGCATTCCAGTGTCTACAAACAGTCACCCTATCAGCTGCGTCACCCGTCACCCCAGCTACTCTGCAGTGTATGGTCTGCCCTCCCCCAATCCCTTCTCCTCTGCCAACCCAGGTGGGGCGGGGGAGCTGGCTGTCATTTCCCATTCCCAGGCCAATAGAACTAGAACAAGGAAGAAAAACAGGAAACTGGGCCCTGAGAGAGGGCAGGATATGTTGTGTGTGGCCGGGGGAGTTGGGTAGGTCCGGGGTTAACCCGCAGTCCTGGTCATCTCTCCTCGCATGTCTGCAGGGAAGTTTGTGGGGGTGGAGTCGGCCCAAGGTGGGTCCTCCTTGAGGACTCCTGAGGAAACCTTTGAGTCAAGCACAGGGGGCTCTCTGGAGGAGGACGACGATGTTGAGACATTCTGCACTTCCTTAGAGAAGCTGGGAGTGGCCCGGGTCCTGGGCGAGTGAGTTGATGCTGGGCCCACTCCCTTTCCGTGCTTCTTCCCTCTCCTCAGCATGTTCTGTCCACCTTGCCCGCCTGTCTGTTGCCACAGAATCCCTAGGCCGCCCCAGTCCATCCTTTGTCAGTTGTGGCTGTCTGGGAGAGCGGCCTGGCGTGATTTCCCTCAGGATTTGCATGCATTTCAGGAGGCCATATCTCTGCGGGGCGGGGCGCCACCAGACACCTAGTCACCCACGGGCATAGCTCTTGGTACACAGGCCACCTTGCACTCGTAGAGGCTAAGCAGGCATGAGAGCACATCCCATAGGGATGAGCCGTGCGCGGCCGACGAGCTGCCATTCTGGGCTGCTGGGCTCTCCAGGGGTTCACCGTCTGCAAAGGGGACACCCCCCTCCCCCGGCACCTGCCAGCTCCAGTCTCCGTTCGCACCCTCTAGGCAATGGGCTGTGAGGACACTCTGGGTCAGGCTACAGCGCGAGCGACCCGAGCTGTTGGGCTCTCTGGAGGAAGTTCTGGTGCGCGCGTCGGCCTGCCTGGAGGCGGCGGCCCGGGAGCGGGACGGTTTGGAGCAGGCGCTGCGGCGGTGAGGGCCGGCCTGGCGAGGTTTGGGGTCTCACGAGGGGAGAGAGACGAAGCTGGCAAATGCTCATGCCTGTGATGTCCCGGTTCCTCGAAGGCGGGAGAGCGAGCACGAGAGGGAGGTGCGCGGACTTTACGAAGAGCTGGAGCAGCAGCTGGGGGAGCAGCGGCACCGCGTGCAGAGCCAGGTGGGCCCACGCACGCCACGCCCAGCCTCGCTGGCTTCGCTGGCTCCGCCTTCCCCGAACTGGCCCCTCCCCAGAGGACTCACCTCCGGGAGTCCGAGCTGCCCCAAGTCCAGGGAACTCTGCTCTGCCTCCGCAAGTGCCCCCTTCCCGCGCTCTCCACCCCTTGGCTCCCCGCCCTTGCCTCTCCGCCTGCCTCCTCTGAGCCGGGAGCAAAGGCTCTAGTGCGGCTGTACATCCCAGAAACTACCCCGGGAGGAACAGAGGGGCCACCTGGAGCTGGAGCTGCAGACCCGCGAGCAGGAGCTGGAGCGCGCAGGCCTGCGGCAGCGGGAAGTAAGCCATAGTCATCAGTTCACGCCCGCATCCTCGCACAGACTCAACTTCTTTGGGGGGGGGGGTCCCCTGTGCCTCGAGGTCCTCGGCTAGGAATCGCGAAGGGTCAGCTTGGCACTGGGGGGTGAGGGAAGAGGGAGGGCGTGGTTCGCCAGCCAGCGTTCCACCGTTCCCCAGCTGGAACAGCAGCTGCAGGCCCGGACTGAAGAACAGCTGGAGGTACAGGCCCAGCACACCCAGCTGCGTAGGGCCTACGAGGCGATACGGGCACAGCTGGACCAGGCGCAAGAGCAGCTCAGCCGCCTGGAGGGCGAAGCACAGGGTCGTCAGGAGCAAACCCAAAGGTGTGGTGAGGCGCCGGTGGGGAGGGTAGAGGGTCCCTTGCCCCCACCCTGCATCTGGATCACAACCTTCTACCCACAGAGATGTGGTTGCTGTCTCCAGGAACATGCAGAAAGAGAAGCTCAGCCTCCTAAGGCAGCTGGAGCTGCTGAGGTGCGTCAGGCCTACCTAGACTGTGGAGAAGTGGTCTCCAGCTCCCAGATATTCTTGGCTCCTACCCATCTTGCTGGAAGTCCGCATGTCTGCTCTATAGCCTTCATGCTGCAGTCTCTGTAATCCTCTGGACTCTGGACTCAAGAGCCATCTTCCCAACTCACGGCTTCCTCTAGATCTTAACCTCCTCAGTCTCAAACTCTTCTTCCCTAGGGAGCTGAATCTGCGCCTTCGAGATGAGAGAGATGCCTGTGAGACTAAGCTGCTGGGCAGTAGCCACAGGAAGGCTCTAGCTATCGCCCACAAGCCTGGGCCCACCTACTGCTGCTGCTGCTGTGGCTGGGCTCGGCCCCCCAGACGAGGCTCTGGCCATCTTCCTAGTGCCCGATGACCAGCCCCAAATGACTCACTAGGCCTTCCTTATCTAGAGGAGCTACTCCTAGAAGGGGACTGGTCATGGGTGGTGGTTGCCTGCTAAGTATGGGGCTCTAGGCAGAAAGCATCACCTGCCTGAAGGATCTAACCTCTGAGTGGTCAAGGTCTTCCGTCTCCATCCTGTTTTCACCTCTGTTTAGCGGACCAATAAAGGCCACTGAGTACTGTGCACACTTCTTGCCTTTCGTGTGTCTGGGAGGCCCAGTGCATTTATGGTTCATGCTTGGTGTCCATGGCACAGGTGACATGGAGGGATTCACAGGTGCACACTAACCTGTCATTCCCGTGGCTGTGGGTTCCTGTGTATGTTCTGTGATCCTGGTCATTTGCCAAGCCCTCCCTCACCATCCATCACAGCGGAAACTCCAAGGACTCAGGTTTCAACAAGTGTCCACTCCCATGCTAGTCCTCATGTGGAAAGGGAGTCCTGCCCCTCACTTCCATGGTTAGCTAGCTCTCTGGCCCAGGTCCTTACTCTTTCATCCTCTGGCACCGTTCCTAGACAGACTATATGCCCTCCAGACTGGGTACCTCTTGCAGGGCCCTCAAGTGTCTGTGGGTCTCCCGGTACCCTTCACACTGTACCTGGAGCTTCCCCTCTTGCATTTCCTCAGCCACTAGAACCTGCAGCCTCAGAGTGGTTTCCTGGGCTTAGACTGGAGGAGGATTTGGTCTTGGTCTCAGTTCTGGGCTCTGGTGGGCTAGGTGCCACCTTCTCCACCTCTCCAGTCACCACCCGGGTTCTGCCTTCCGCTTAGCTCTTCTGACTCTGGGTGAGTGGGGAGTCTTGTTGACCACCGGCGCCCTCAAACTAACTTTCCGGCCCCACAGACGGGGCAGGTCCCCAGGTCTCGCCGTGTGGCGCGGTCTTCTGTGCGCCTTAGCACCAAACCAGTTAGGACTTGCCCAGCCCTGGCCGGCCGTGGGCGGGGCTCGCTCGGGGCGGGGTCGCGCGCGGGGCGTGTCCTCGTAGGCCCCGGGCCGAGCATTCTCAGCACTCCAAGCAATCCCTCCTACAGCCGCGGCAGGGGCTGATACTCCAAAGTGTGGTTGGTGAGTGATCCGCGGAGCCAGGCCGCAGGGTGTGGGGAGCAGTGTCCCGAGTGCCTCGCGCACCAGTGTCCCCAGTCTTCACCGCTGGCCTCGGGGACGCCCAGGAGGCAGCGCCGGTAGGACACGGCTGCAGGCTCCTTTCCGGAAGATCGACAACGGGGCGGGAAGGAAGAAGTGGAGGGGGGAGGGAGAAAGCCTCTGTGGTTCTTGGACAGGCCTGGCGATCCCTTTCATGCAGAAACCCAGAAAGTCAAAGTCTGATCACCTTATTCATTGTCCCTGGACACCGGTTCCCTCCCGAGACCGCAGGCTCACCCATTGGCACGCGGGGGAGGGGGGACCGGTAAGGGGCTGTGGTGACTTCATCTCAGTGACGCGGGGATTCCTCGCCTAGCCGCCTTCAATGCCCTGTCCTCTCGGTGGGGCGGGTGCCGAGTGCCATCGAGGGCGCAGGAGAAAGAAGTCCAGGGGCTGATTGTAGGGCGGTTGTGTCCAGGCCTCAGGAGCTATTTCTGGCTGGTCACGGCTCCCACGCAGGCCCTTTCTCAGGAAATTAACATTCAGTCTGCTGATTGTGCCTTGGCTTAGGTTGCTGGATGTGTTCAGAAGCAGCACTCCATAGGTTCTGGGCCTTTAGAGCTTGGCCCCGGGGCTTGCGTTGTGGTCGGGCTTCTGTGTCATGCCCCTCCTTCAGTGAGGCAGCGTGTATTTGGGTCCTATTTCCAAATGGAGGTCTGTAATCTCTTCCACCCTCAGGAGTGGACAGTTGATGCAGTTTGGTGGGGGAGGGACAGTGATGGATGGGTCTGGAGGGTGGGGCACCTGGAGAAGGCATTTGGTCCCTCCCTAGGTCAGGCTGGCCAGCAATGTCCTCTGCCCCACCCTGGTCCAGAAGAAAATAGTAGGCCTGACTGTTAGGCCTGCTTCTAGATCTGGTGTCTGTGGAAATCATTCTGACCACCGCTTCAGCCACCATAGGAGTGGCAAGATCCTACCTGCCAGGTGAAGGGCAGACCACTGACTTTTGACCTGTACCTGCTGGTCCTTCTGACTTATAGAGGTGAGTGCTGGTGCTTGGGCAGAGCCTGCAGGTGGCAGGTGAAAAGCCCTGCATATGCATGCCTGTCTAGAAACCTGACCTGGGGTGCTCAGCTGAGGTCTGTACTGCATACTGTCCACAGTGCAGACACTGGTGTGTCTAGGGCAGGATGTGCCTAGAGGATCTTTGGGGGAATGGCCATTCACCTCTATGGCCTCCTCCTACAGCCCAGAGGGGAGCTGATTGTGCAGGCTCCACCTACCGGCACCTCTATTGTCCCTGCCCAGGCTGGGAGTAGAGAGGTTGCTCTCAGAGCCCTCAGACCTCTGTTTACCTGAGGTCTGTCTGAGCTCTCGGCTTCTCTGCCACATCTGGGGTATTAGTGCTAAGCAATCAGCCAGTGATGTGGGGCTCAGGGAATGCTGTGGGGGTGGCAATCCACAGGAATGCATCCTGAAGGTCTGCTGGGGCTCCCCCCTCCCCCCAGTTGCCAGCAGGAGTGAGTCAGCAAGCAGGTTGGGGGTCCTCCATGACAATTCAATATGGGTGTCTGGCTGTGAGGAGGGGTGTTAGCCCTGATCCCTTGTCCAGGAAGTGAGTCATATATGGTTCCTGGGAAGGCTCCTCTTAAGGCCCACAGCTGGCTGAGCTCCAAACTCTGGAAGTATCTGGGAATTGCTGCATCCCGTCCTGCCCCCATTGGTTTCTAGCTTTCTTTCTAGTTGGAGGCCTGGTGCTTCAGGCCGTCTGACCTCCTCCATGTTTCTGCAGGCCCAGCATGGGTGAATTCAACGAGAAGAAGGCAACATGTGGCACGGTCTGCCTCAAGTATCTGCTGTTCACCTACAACTGCTGCTTCTGGGTAAGAAGTGCTGCATTCTCCCTACATCCCCATTCTTCCTCATCTTGGAGGCCTGGCCTAGGGGCTTGTCCCCAGCTTCCAGACCTGGGCCAGATGTAGTGACCAGTACATACTTCCTGCAGCTGGCTGGCCTGGCTGTCATGGCAGTGGGCATTTGGACACTGGCCCTCAAGAGTGACTACATTAGTCTGCTGGCTTCAAGCACTTACCTAGCCACAGCCTACATCTTAGTGGTGGCTGGTGTTGTTGTCATGGTGACCGGAGTCCTGGGCTGCTGTGCCACTTTCAAGGAGCGACGGAATCTGTTACGCTTGGTCAGCAGGGCCTGGTGGCACATGGTGGGAGTGGTGGGGCTGGGGATGCCTGGCATGGGTTTCTCAGGGGCCTCTGATAGTGGTTCTGAGGCTTGACTCTGGTTAAGTATGTTACTGCAGGCTGTCCCTGTTGAACTTACTAGGGCATCCCCCAGCTGGACCAGCTGAGGGCATAGACCAGATCCAGAGAAGTAGAAGCTAGGTGGCCCAGTCTGTAGCTGCCAATTGGATTCCTCCTGCTTGGCCTCTTGGGTTGGGACTTGCTTTGTGGTGCTCTGGTACTAGGAACTCACTGGGTCCCTGCTTCCTAGTACTTCATCCTACTCCTCATCATCTTCCTACTGGAGGTCATTGCTGGCATCCTGGCCTATGTCTATTACCAGCAGGTAAGGGCCTGAACTGGCCATGGGGTATGTCCAGAACAGGTGTGCACACAGGCAGGTAGATCCCAGGGCTGACTTGGGACTTTTTGGGGAGGGAGGTATTCATAGGATTGAGAGTGTCACTCATTCCAGGCTGGCCTTGTTCTTGCCTGGTGTCTCTTCTAGTCCTGACAGTCCCACAGGGGGTGGGGGTGGGGGTGGGGGGGTGTGGGTGGGTGGGGTCCTGACTCTAGCTTTGCCCTGAGTGTGGGGTGGGCGGTTTCAGACTTTGATCCTACCCACAGCTGAACACAGAGCTCAAGGAGAATCTGAAGGACACCATGATCAAGAGATATCACCAGCCAGGCCAGGAGGGTGTGACCAGTGCTGTAGACAAGCTGCAGCAAGAGGTGGGTGTCCCCCTATAACTCCCCACTTTCCCAGCATGGTGCTATGTGCTGGCAGGCTGGAGGGCTCAGCCACATATTCCTCGTAGTTCCACTGCTGTGGCAGCAACAACTCTCAAGACTGGCGAGACAGTGAGTGGATCCGCTCTGGTGAGGCAAGCAACCGTGTGGTTCCTGACAGCTGCTGTAAGACTGTGGTACCTGGCTGCGGTCGCCGGGACCATGCCTCCAACATCTATAAAGTGGAGGTAGGTGGGTGCTCAGGAAGGGGCCAGACTGACTGGGTGGCTGGTCTGGCTATGTCTTAGGGTACCCTGGTCCAACAGGGCTGCATGTGGGAGCCAGCAAGGTCCACCACCACTCTCTCCCCACTAGGGTGGCTGTATCAGTAAGCTGGAGACCTTCATTCAGGAGCACCTGCGGGTCATCGGGGCTGTGGGCCTCGGCATCGCCTGTGTGCAGGTGCGGAAACATAGAGGTGACTGGGAACACTGGGGTGGCTGGTGGCCCACAGCCCTGTTTACACCAACCTGGCCCCACGCAGGTCTTCGGCATGATCTTCACCTGCTGCTTGTACAGAAGCCTCAAGTTGGAGCACTACTGACCATGGTGCCAGGCCAGGCTGCCAGCCTTGCACTATGTCCCACCCCACTACAAAGTACTACTGAGTTAGACTGCTGACTGCCAGAGAGGTAGCTGTCCTCATGCCATCACTACGACCCCTGGCGACCCCACCTCAGGGGTAGCTTCAAGTGCCTTTCACTGCATACCAAAGTCCCAAGGCTTGAGGCAGTGTACTTGTCCCAGCATAAGAGGGGGCCGGTTGCCAGTGTTGGGCTAGGCCTAGCTGGTAGAATAGGGTTCAGATTATTTGACAAAAGTGCCTCTTGCCCACAGGCTACTTTTCTTTGGGTAGCTGTCATTTGTAATAAGTTTGGGGAGAACTTGGGCATACCACCTGCATGGTGGGTAGAAGCAGGTGGGAAGGGGTAGTTCTGGGTGGGCTAGGTACCTTTCATGCCCGCTGCTGGGAACCCTCAGATCTGCTTACCCCAAACTAATGGGGCAAGCTGAGGGGAACCACACCCCCACAGCATATGCCTTGTCCTCTCCATCCAGGCCTTTCTTGCTCCTAACAGCCTCAGCCCTGGCTTTTGCCCACTTCTGATAACACCATGCAAATGCCCCACGTTCCTGTACACTGTCTCCTTTTGGAACATCTGAATGGGGCACGGCTGTTTTCATCCACTGCTGTATCCCAGATGCCCACATGTGCTCCTGCTATGTAACAGGTGCTCAATAAATGTATAAACAGTCGAGTCAGCTTGCTGACAGGACCTTAGGGTCCAGGGTAGCTGGAGTACTCAGAAGAGTCAAGGATGGTGAAGCCCAATGGCAGAGGCAGTTAGGCTGACCTCTGGTAGCTGGAGAGCCTCTAGCTCACTGTGGCCTGGACTTTGCCAGGCAAAGGACTGCCCATACTCAAGGACACACAAATGTACCCTAACAGCTGATTCTCTGTCCCCGACAGTCCTATGCTGTTTAGTGGCAGCTGGAAGTGTGGGGTCCAAGGGGCCCACTGGGCTTCAGCCCAAGGCAAAGCTTTTTTCCTCTTCAAAAACTAGTGTGGCAGCCGGGTGGTGGTGGCACACACCTTTAATCCCAGCACTTGGGAAGCAGAGCCAGGCAGATCTCTGTGAGTTCGAGGCCAGCCTGCTCTACAGAGAGAGTTCCAGGACAGGATCCAAAACCCTGTGTCGAAAAAACCAACACCTCCCCTGGAAACAAACTAGTGTGTGCGTGCACACCACATGTTTAATCCCAGCACTCAAGAGAGGCAGAAGTAGGCGGACTGCTGTGAGTTTCACACCAGCCAAGGCTACATAAGTGAGACCCTATCTCAAACAAAACCCCAAATAATAAATGTGCTAAAAAGAACCCTGGGACATTTAATGCAAATACCCAGGAGCCAGAGCCTTAAATGGACCTCCTTTGGCCTTGAGTAGGTTTCTTAGTGCCAGGAACTTTTCCACTCCTGTGGGATTTGGGTTAAAGGGCAGAGATGCCTAGCTGCTGGGTCTGGGAAGATTCTGGAAACAAGATCCTCAGGCATGGATAGCAGATGGGCTCACGGCTAATGTTCTTTAGGATCCAGGACTTAGTTTTTGGGTTCTGGAGGACAGGGCATGAGTTTGTGGCCTCGGGAATACTCAGGAGTTGGAAATGGCTCAGAGGTGAAGAATACCGGCTGTTCTTCTAGAATATCTGGGTTTGGTAGATGATACATACTTTTTTTTTTTTTTTTTTGGTTTGTCAAGACAGGGTTTCTCTGTGTAGCTTTGTGCCTTTCCTGGAACTGGAACTTGCTCTGTAGACCAGGCTGGCCTTGAACTCATAGAGATCCGCCTGTGCTGCTGGCCGGCTGATACACACCCTTAATTCCAACACTGAGAAGGCAGAGGCAGGTGGATCTCTGAGTTTCAAGGCCAGCCTGGTCTACATACTGAGTTCCAGGATAGCTGGGACTACACAGAGAAACCCTGTCTCAAACAACAACAAAAAGAACACATGTCAGTTCATACTGTCTAAAACTTTTGGCCTCTGTGGGTACACAAGTGGCGCAAAGACATACAAGCAGAAAAAACAGCAAACACATAAAAAAGAATCCTATAGCACGGTGGTGAGACATTGGGTGGGCCTCCAAGCACTCTTCAGCATTCCAAAGGAGTATCCTCTCAGGCTTGGGCCCTGCCTGTGGATGGTGTGGCCACATCTACCCTGCCCATCCTGAACACTGGCAGGGAGAGGAGAGGCCCTACAGCAATGAGGTGCAAGATTGCACTGTAAGACTAGCCAGTGGTTCAAACAGGTCAAGGCCCAGAGAAACAGAAGCAAGGGGCTCCCCACAAGACTGGACCCCCAAGTCAGGTGAGAGGAAGGAGACCAGCCCTGGGGGAAAGACGAGCCAGGCCAGGTAACTTCAAAGGCAGTACAGGCATGATGTTGAGAACCTTACAAAGTCAGACCTGCTGGTGGCTTTGCAAAGGTCTTTACTGAACCGTTTCTTCCAGGATGAGGGGACCTGGCCACAGCCAGGCACCCCGCCCACCTCCCCAACACCTCAGTTTGAACTCAGCATGACAGGCTGCCCATGGCCAGCAGAGCAGGACAGTAAGCTCCGGCAGTCACTTCTCCAGGGGAGCATAGTTTAGCAGCTTTTCAATCAGGTCCACGTGTGCTAGCAGCATGCGGCGACAGCAGTAGCGCTTCAGGCCCAGAGCATCCAGGGCATCCCTGTAAGGAGGAGAGGAGTGAAGCTGGATGTGGTCTCTACAGTCTGCACAGGTCTGCAGCCACCTCCACCTTGCCTCTGTGTATTACTGTGGGTTACATCTACATATATGGGGGCTGAAACCTGACAGCAGTCCACAGGGAAATGGCCTGGAGAGTTTTGAATATGTACCCAGACGCTTAGAGTGGAGGCTAGTGAGTCCCTTTTCTCACCTAGATGTACACTTGACTCTCCAGGGTACACCTATCCCACGTATATGCCCACATGCCAATCTTTAGTGTCCTATACCCTTACCTGCCTTCTGCCCATAATTGCTTTTTTTTTTTTTTTTGGTTTTTCGACAGGGTTTCTCTGTGTAGTTTTGGTGCCTGTCCTGGGTCTCACTCTGTAGACCAGGCTGGCCTTGAACTCACAGAGATCCGCCTGGCTCTGCCTCCTGAGTGCTGGGATTAAAGGCGTGCGCCACCACTGCCCGGCCATACTTGCTTTTGTTTTTTGTTTTTTTTTGTTGGTTTTTTGTTTTTTTTTGTTGGTTTTTCGAGACAGGGTTTCTCTGTGTAGCTTTGCGCCTTTCCTGGAACTCACTTGGTAGTCCAGGCTGGCCTTGAACTCACAGAGATCCGCCTGGCTCTGCCTCCCGAGTGCTGGGATTAAAGGCGTGCGCCACCACCGCCCGGCTCATACTTGCTTTTTAAATTTCATTTTATGTGTATGGGTGTTCTGAACATGTATGCCTAATGCCTGCCGAAGCCCAAAGGAGTTATGAACATTTGTGAGCCACCATGTGGGTTCTAGGAATTGAACCTGGGTCCTCTAGAAGAACAGCCAGCGCTCTTAACAGCTGAGCCATATTTCTAACCCCCATCTCTGCTTCTGGCTCTTGTACCCAGGGCTGGGGTAGCTTTATGGTCTTCCAAAGTTACTTGGGGAAGCTTAGGAGACCAATATCCCCTCATCAAGGAGCTGAATTCCAGGCCCCACAGGTGGACTCTGAGAAAATGCTGTGAACTGGCTGTTGTCTCCCTCCTTGGCTCTATTCTCCCACATCCCGGAGAGAGCTTGCAAACCAACTGAGTTTGATTTCTCTGGGATCTAGTGAGCTTGAGAAGCTCTTGCCCAAGTAAAGAGGGTCCCAGAGGGCTGGCTGCTACTCACCCACAAAGCCTGAATATCAGAGTTTGTCCTGCAGCTTATTTTTTATATTTGTATTTATTATTATTATTATTTGATTTCTTGAGACAGGGTTTCTCTGTGTAACAGTTCTGGCTGTCCTGGAACTCGTTCTGTAGACTAGGCTGGCTTCGAACTCATAGATACCCGCCTGTCTCTGCCTCCCGAGTGCTGGAATTAAAGGCGTGTACCCCCTACCCCCACCCGGCTTTGCCCTGCATTTTATAAGGGTCCACAAGGTTCTAAATACATAGAAATAGGCCTGAAGAGTAGGTGGGCAGGGAAGAGACTTGAGTGTTCTGTTGCGGATGAAGAGGTGCCTGTCACCCATGGTAAGGATGCTCAGAAGTTTCCAGAAGGACAGCAGCTTGAAACCCACCTTCCAAACTTCAGGAGGCTGGGCGTGCACGCCTTTAATCCCAACAACTCAGGAAGGTGGCAGGAGAATCTCTAAGAGTTCAAGACCAGCCTGTTTTACATAGAGAGTTCTAGGCCAGCCAGGGCTACACAGTGAGACCCTACCTCAAAAACAAACTTAAGAATCATTCTTCCGGGAATACATCACCGGGCTGGGCTGGAGGATCACCAGAGTTTGAAATTCCTAACGCTGCCTGCTCACTTGACTCCTCAGTCGCTGCCTTGCTCCCACAGACAAGTCTCCATCCCAAAGTTTCATCTATCCCCGGCCCAGGATACCTCTGTCTTACCCCCGGGGCCGCCGCAGAACTCTCACCCCCGCCCCTCTGCTTCACGACCCCAGCCCGGCCTTCCCGCCCCCTCCCCCGCAGGCCCGCCGCCTCACCCTTCGGTGTACTCGGCCTGCAGCAGACCCAGGTAGGCTTCCCATTTGTTGCCGACGATCTTCCCGCAGGTGAAGCAGCGAACAGGGATGATCATGGCGGCGTCTGGCGCGCAGGCTGCCGGCAGCGGTATTTCAAGGCCCGCCCAGGCGCGTCCACAGCGCGGGGCTCATCGCGCCCAGGCTCCGCCCCGCACGATCCTGAGCCCCGCCCCGCATCTCCCCGAACCCCGCCGCGGCCCCGCCCCCGCTCCCGCGATCACTCTGCAGCGGCGGTGTTCTCTGCTCGCGCCCACCCGGGGCTCCTAGAGCCTGCGTGCCCGCGGCAGCATCCCGGGAGCCCCCTCCCTCCGTGGTGGTACATCCCGGCGCTACGGCGTCCGAGCAAGGCCGAAAGGTCCGCGGCGCCGACGGTTCGCGTTTCTCGTGTTTGCTTGACTGACAGCTGCTCCGCGGAGCGGAGGCACGCTCAGGTACAGCGGGTCTGCGGGCAGGGGTCCCGCCGGCCCGATCGCATCCAGATGGCAACAAGTGGTGGTGGCGCGGCCGGGGCGCGGGCTGCCGAGAGTGCACGGCCAAGGCAGTCTTCCCGCCTCCTTGGCCCGGACTCCGAGGGGTCTCGGTCTGGAGCCCTTCCTTACCCGAGGTGCCCAGCCGTGGAGTTTGGAAAGTCCCTTGCGCCGCTGCAGAACTGTAGGCCGTACGGTGCCCCCGGCCCCGACGGCGTCGTCCCGCGCTCAGCAGTCCTCTCCTTCCCTGAGAAGGGGCTAGAAAAGGCTTTTCCCGCGGAGAGGTGCAGGGTGGTGGTCCGGGAAGGCGTAGTGTAGGAGGCACCCTATGAACAGGCCTTTTAACTTCTTTCTCCCGGGAAACTTGACTTGGACGCGGCGATTGCCTGCGGGGACCGCTAGGGGCCACAGGTTGCCTCACCTGGAGTTGACCTAAGGACTTAAGGGAATGGACAAGTGCTGGTATCCTGGGGACTTCATCACCCTGACCGCAGCGCCTTCTTGCTGTGCCGGGGGCTACCCTTGGGAGGACGAGGCAGCATGCAGT